CACACTTGAAATTTGTTTGCCTACGGATAAAGGATTAAAGGTAGTAAGGAGTCGAAAATACAATTGAAGGTGGTCTGGAAACGGAAACACAATTTAAGGTTGTCTGAAGACATAGCACAATTCAATGTTTCCTTGAAACATAATGCAATGTGGTCTGGAGACAAAACATGAATGAAGGTGGTATGGAGACGGAAACACAATTGAAGGTGAAGGTGATTGAAGGTGATCTGGTGACGAAGAAACAGTCCAAGGTGGTCTGGAAATGTAATCACAACTGAAGATGGTCCGAGGACGGAGACAAAATTCAAGGTTGCATGAGACCGAAACACAAAATTAAGTTGTCTTGAGACTGAAACACAATTGAAGGTGTCCTGGGAACGGAAACACTATTTGAGATGGTCAGGAAACGGATATACTATTCAATGTCGTCGACAGTCAGAAGAACGTCTAAATGCGGAGGAGAGGGAGAAACAAATAAAGATGGTCAAAAGACGTAAACAGATTTGATGGTGGACTGAGGACAAAAGAAACTAAACATGTGTCCATAGGACACGGGTGCACCGACACGCCACTGTTCTGCCAATCTAATGACTCTAGGTCAAAATGCTTTTGGACTACATGTGCCACAAGTTGTAAACTAAAAATCTTTTACTAAGTAAATGTCAAAAACTTTACAAATACTGATTAAATCCACAAGCAAACCGCAAGATGAATAAGTACACATGCTGACCAACATTCTTGTAAACGTTCAGGCCTACAAGTCAAATAATTTTTAAGCTATGCACGACCAAGTTGAAAATTAAAAATTTATACTACTGTAAGTCAAGGGCAATAACTAAAAAAACTAAACAAGACTGCAATTGTGAAAATGCTATGCCACCGCATTAATACAACACTTAATAGTAATGTACGAACAGATTTTTTTGTTTCTATACAATTGAAGATTTATTGCCATACTGCATAGGAAGGGGTTCACTACACAATATTGCATGCATAATATCTTATATCTATCCTTTGTCAATTTCAAGAAGATGATTTTTTAATCTTTTTACTATTTAGTCATAAAAAGAAAACTTACGACCCCGGGGGAAGCTAATTTTGACGCTTGAGGCACAATTCAAACAACTTTGGTAGAGTACCTATAGGTAATTTCTAACACAACCCGCATTTTTCCCTATTGAACATAGAAGAATCGAAAGTGTGGTGTGTGTTATTATGCTATAATATCACTGTTTGACGTTCTACATTTAGATATGTGACGTAATCATTATACACGTGACGTAACAACTAAAATGTGACGCGCTGACAATAAGTACGGAAACAAATCAGCCGCAATTAAGCTTATTATAATGCACGGCAGCATTTATGTGTTGATGTCGTGTTAGAATCGAAATAATATATCCAAATCGGTGATTTTATTACTTGATAACATCACTGTTTGTCGTTCGGATGCGCATCATTATATCACTCGGGCTACGCAATTGAGCAATAACATCACAGTTTAGGATATATTTTCTTAAATTATATACTTAATATCAAAGCTCTAAGCCTTAAACCTTGATCAAGAAGGTTTGAATGTTTTACTATATGTACATAATTGAAAATCAATGACCCCCGGCGCGGGGCCAATTTTGACGCTAGAGGTAAAATTTGAACAATTTTGGTAGAGTATCTATAGATGATATCATATACCAAATATCAAAGCTCGAAGCCTTGTACTTTCAGAAAATAACTTTTTTTTTATTTTTTACTATATGTACAAAGTAAAAAACAATGACCTCCGGGGCCGGACAAATTTTGACCCAAGGGCTATAATTAGAACAATCTTGGTAGAGGTTCACTTCACATTGTTTTTTGTAAAATATCTAACCTCTAGCCTTTGTTAATTTCGAGAAGATGATTTTTTAAGTGTTAAAAAGAAAATATATGAACCCCTTTTGGGCTAATTTTGACGCTAGAAGCAAACTTTGAACAACTTTGGTAGAGTACCTATAGATGATATCATAAACCAAATATCAAAGCTCAAAGTCTTGTATCTTAAGATAAGAAGGTATTTTATGTCTTAACTATATGTATATATAGTAAAAAAATTAATGACCCCCAGGGCAGGGCCAATTTTGACCCCATTGCTATAATTTGAACAAATTTTGTAGAGTACCTATAGATTATATCATATACCAAATATCAAAGCCCTAAGCCCTGTACCCTCAGACAATAAGATTTTATTTGATTTTTTACTATATGTTCATTGTGAAAATCAATGACACCTAGGGTGGGGCCAATTTTGACCCCAGGGCTATGATTTTAAAGCTCCTAGTATGAGTCCACTATACAATATTACATGCATAATATCTTACCTCTATTCTTTGTCAATTTCAAGGAGATGATTTTTTTTAAAGTTTTTACTATTTAGTCATAAAAAGAAACTTTACGACCCCGGGGGAGGCTAATTTTGACGCTTTAGGCAAAATTTAAACAAGTTTGGTAGAGTATCTATAGGCTATATTATAAACTTAATATCAAAGCTCCAAGCATTGTACCTTTAGCAAGAAGGTTTGAATGTTTTATTATATGTACATAGTGACTGAAAATCAATGACCCCCGGGGCGGAGTCAAGTTTGATCCAAGGGCTATAATTTGAAATCTCTTTTTAGAGGTTTACTTCACAATATTTCATGCATAATATCTTACCTCTAGCCTTTGTCAATTTTAAGAAGATGATTTATTAAGTTTTTACTATATAGCCATAAAAAGAAAACCCATGAGCCAGGGAGGGGGCTAAATTTGACGCTAGAGGCAAAATTTGAACAACTTTGGTAGAGCACCTATAGATGATATCATATACCAAACATCAAAGCTCTAAGCCTTGTACCTTAAGCAAGAAGGTATTTTAAGTTTTTATTATGTGTACATATAGTGAAAATCAATGACCCCGGGGCGGGGCCAATTTTGACCCCAGGGCTATAATTTGAACAATATTTGTAGAGGTCTACCAGACATTGCCTTTTGCAAAATATCTATGATCTAGTTTCTTTTAAATTCATCTTATAATTCCTTTTCGTTGCCATTTGAACACCTTTGAAAGCTCTTTACCTAAGGATTAGGTTGAAATTGGCCAAGTGGTTTTTCAAACAAGATTTTTTAAGTTCACTATATAATCTATAGAACACACACACACACACACACACACACGCACACGCACACGCACACGCACACACACACACACACGCACACGCATACACACACATTTACATTCCTGTAAAGTTGGTTGATTCTAACTCAAGCAATCAAGGAACAAATAACAACATAATGAAACGGTTTTTACTAAGTCAAGGGAAATAACTCTACAAATAATGAAAATATCCACCAGCGAAAGGTCTTATGACTCTATGTCAAATCATTTTTGAGGTACATGCGACACAAGTTGAAGATTGCAAAAAAAATCTAAGTCAAGGGCAATAACTTTAAAAATACTTAATCAATCCACAAAACTCAGGTGCAAAACAACACATGCTGATCAACATTCCTGTAAAGTTTCATGGCTCCAGGTTAAATCCTTTTTGAGTAACATGCGACACAAGATGAAAATTGAAAATTTTTACTAAGTCAAGGGCAATAACACTTAAATACTGAATTAATCTACACAAAAATATCAAGGTGTTCAATGCGACACACATTGAAAATTGCAATATTTTACTAAGTCAAGGGCAATAACTCTAAAAATGCAATAAATGTCGTGAATTACACGATTTTTTTACTCCTAATCATGAGAATTATGCCTGTTTGTATTTGGCGGAAAAATATTATATTTCTTTACTCCAAAAGTTATGAATTGTGTATTTTTGTATTTGGGGGGAAAAATTAAAATTTTCTTTTACCCCCCAAAACTTATTTAAATTTTTGTATTTCTTGTATTTTGGCGGAAAAAAATTATATTTTTTTTTAAATCCAAAAAACCCTTTGAATTGTGTTTTTGGGGATTGGCGGGGAAATTTTTTTTCAAACCCATGAATTTTCTTTCCTATATGATTTTTTCCTTATTTTCCAAAAAATAAAATTATGATCTTTAAATTGGGGGGGAGAAAACACAAAATTTTAAATGGGAAATTACAATCCTTTTTTTTTGGGAAAAAGGAAGTAAATTTAAGTGTTAAAAAGGTTGTTAAAAAGGGGATTAAAAAGTAAGTTTTGGGTGTAAAAATGGAAAAAAAAAATCTGGAAAATTTAAAAAATGAATTTTTTTTGTCTTCAAAGTAGTAAAATTTTAAAAGGGAAAAATTTAAAAAGGAAAAAATTTTTGAAAATTGCTACATTGAATTTGGCGCCGGAATCCGGGAATCGAGAATAGAATTTGAAGATTTTTCACAAAAAAGAATTTCTTCACAACGTATATATGATGTCTCTGTGAGATGCGAAAACAAATATTTTACAGTTGGATTGAAAGGATTCTCGATTCAGTCAAAGAAAATAGTGATGTGTGGTATCCTGAAATGTGTTTATGCGTGAAAACAAATTGAAGGCGAAGTGGCAACCAGAATCAATAAAGTGTTTCTCAAAGGAATATAAAAGTGAATTAAAAAAGTGTTGAATAAATTCAAAGAATCACTGAGGTAAATTTGGATAATGTTACTGTGCTTTTTTGTGTGTCTATAAATATCAATATAGTAATCATGAGTGACTTACCATATCTAAAAGGCGTGCGCACACGCTACTTTAATTTCCTTGAGAAGGAATTACGGACTGGAGATAATTTATTAGAAACAAGTATTGAGAGCATAAGCCCAGAAGAATACAAGAAGGTTGAGCATTCTGCCAATGAAAGTAAACTTAAGATTGATATTTATATAGATAAGCTTACTGTTCAGAAAAGGTAGCGCGTGCAATTGGTGATTCAGATAGTATATTTATTCAGGAGATGATTGAAATTGATTCAGTCTTGATTGATAGCAGAGAATATTATAAAAGAGCAGTCGGACGAAGAAGGATCAGCTTTACAAAAAATGTGTGAAGTTCAGATGAAACTTCAACAAGCCTTCTTTGAACATCAGCAAGAACGGGCAGAAGAGCAAATGAAAATCCAACAGAAATTCTTTGACAAGCAACACAGTCTCAAAATTAAGAGTGAGAATACTGTCAAATTGCCAAAGTTAGACATAGTTTCCTTTAATGGAAATAAACTGCAATGGATGGAATTTTGGGACTCTTTCTCTAGTGCTATACATGAAAATGACAATCTGTCGCCAGTTGACAAGTTCAACTATTTAAAGGGAAAGCTGGTTGGAGAAGCTAGAGGTGCTATCGCTGGACTGACATTATCTAATGAAAAGTACGGTATTGCCATAACAATTCTAAAGGAAAGATTTGGAGATAAACAAGACATTATAGATTTGCATTACAAGGGGCTGGTGAACGTTGCATCCCCTAAAGATACAACTGAAAGTTTGCGATTCTTTTATGACAAAATACAAAAGCACTTGGAGGTTATGCATGAGAATTTGGAGCAACAAGTGTTCGTATCAATTATTCGGAGCAAACTACCAAGTGATGTTCTTATGCACCTTGAAGTACAGAAGGGTGCAGACAATAAGTGGACGATAACCAAGCTTCGTGAGTTTCTCAGACAGTATATTGTATCCAGAGAAAAGTCAGACAGACCAAAACCAGTCAGTGCTACTTGTGTACCTGATAGAAGAGTTAATGCACAGTTTCAAAGATCAAACAATACTTTTAAAAGCTACAGGGGTAATTCAACAACAAGTAACACTACCGGAGCTCTGACTGCATATGACAAGAAAGGACATACACCTCTAAAACATCATCAAAAACAACAACAACACAAGAGAATATGTAGATTCTGTAGTAAAAATCATTGGAGTGACGAATGTCCGAAGTTTAAAACAATCGGCGAAAGAAAAGCTCAAATAAAGGGATGCTGTTATAAATGCTTAAAAGAAGGACACATGTCTCCTGACTGTAAAAGTATACGTGTTTGTGTATATTGCAATAAATCAAATGTACACCACAGAAGCTTATGCCCTGAAAAATTTAGAAAGGCATCTCTGCAAGAAAGTGCATATTTGTTAGAAGAAGTAGCATGTGTGTCTGAAGATAGAGCAAAACCAAAGGAAATTCTTAGAAATTCTACGGATGATAAAGCTTGTATTGAAAGTGCTTTGTTATCTTCTAATGAAATAGTGATGATGCAAACATCGCGCACTGAGATTTGTGATCCAGATGGTCAAAATAAAGATAATGTAAGAATCTTATTAAATTCAGGGTCGCAAAGAACATACATAACCGAGAGACTGGCTAAATCTTTGAATCTGAAGAAGAAAAGTAAGCAAGAGATTCGTCTAGTTTACATTTGGGAGTGACAAACCTAAAGTGATTAGAACAATGTCTACGCAATTGAATATTCGATTAAAGGATGGACAGAATTTCGCTATTACAGCAAATATTGTTCCAACAATTACAGGAAGCATTCAAAGAAAACCAGTGTCTATATCTAATAACGGAGAGTTCAGATCGTTAATCAAGAATCTTACTCTAGCGGATGATATACCGACTGAAGAATACACAGATTCTATTGATTTGCTGTTTGGAAATGATTACTACTTAGATATAGTGTTAGGACATAAAATAGAAATTCAGCCAGGCTTATACCTCTTGTCATCAAAACTTGGTTGGATTCTTTCAGGAAGAACAAGTGAAATCGATGACAGCGTTACTGATGCCAATATGCTCATATTATCATATGGCAATAACATAACTAAGACACAAGTGTTTACAACAGTTGACACATGTGTTCCAAAATTACCTGACATAGAAGACTTTTGGAATATAGAAACAATAGGATTGAAAGATAGCACAAATGAAAGAACTGATCAAGCGATAGATAAGTTCAAAGAAAGTCTTGTGTTCAAAGATAACAGATATTATGTTAAGTGGCCGTGGCGAGGCGACAATTATGAAGTTCCAGAAAATCGTCCTCTAGCTTTTGGACGACTTAAGTCATTAGTGAAAAGGTTCAAAGATAACCTAGATGTATTACAGAAATATGATTCTGTGATTCAAGATCAGCTTGAAAAGGGAATTATAGAAAAGGTTGAGACCTCTGAACAGAATGGACATATCCATTACTTACCCCATCACGCAGTGATAAAGCCTGACAAATCAACAACAAAGCTGAGAATTGTGTATGACGCGTCAGCTAAATCAAAGGTTGAAAATAACAGTCTGAACGACTGCCTTTACAAAGGACCCGTTCTTTTGAATGACTTGTGTGGAATTCTGCTAAGATTTCGACTACATAAGATCGGTATTGTTTCCGATATAGAGAAGGCTTTCCTCCAAGTTGGGTTGCAGAAAGATCAAAGAGATGTCACTCGTTTCATATGGTTAAAAGATATTGAACACCCAGACATATCGCAAAATCAGGTACAAGAGGTACAAGAATACCGGTTCTGTGGGATCCCCTTTGGAATTGTGTCAAGCCCTTTCTTATTGGGAGCAACAATTGATTATCACTTGGAGTGCTATAACAATGAAATCGCCAAGAAACTGAGACGAGATATTTATATGGACAATGTTGTAACGAGAACAGAAAACGTTGAAGCTGCGAAATACTTGTATATTAGGTCCAAAAGAATTTTTGACGATGCCAGCATGAATCTTCTCGAGTGGGCGTCTAACAGAGACGTGACGGAAAGTATTCTACCTGAAAACAGAGCAAATGAAACTGTGTTAGGTCTTGAATGGAACAGACACAAGGATACATTGGCCATACAGAAAGTAAATAAATCGACAACTCAGTGTGTAACTAAACGTGTCATTTTGAGCAAAATTGCCTCTGTATTTGACCCTCTAGGTATATTTTCACCAGTTACGCTTAGAGGAAAAGTACTCATTCAAACACTGTGGAAGAAAAAAGTCGATTGGGACCAGCCAATTGACGAAGAAGACATTGTTGTATGGCATGAAATTCAACGAGATCTCAGTGAAATAAGTGAACATGCCACCCCACGATGCACTGTAAGTGAAGTTGATAACAAAAATATTCTTGTGTGTTTCTGTGATGCCTCTACCAAAGCATATGCTACCGTTATATATTTGATGCAGAAAGGGAATTCACAACAGCACATCGAAATAGTATTTTCAAAGACTCGACTTGCTCCAACTTCAAACATCAGTATTCCTCGACTTGAACTCCTTGCTGTACTTATAGGGGTACAATGTTTAGCCTTTATACAAGAGCAAATAAAGATGCAAATTGACGAAGTTCATTTGTTCTCAGATTCTCAGTTGGGGCATTTAAAAAGGATTTGTCGGGGAAAAAGCTTCCCTTTTTTTGTTAGAAACCCAGTTAATGAAATAAAAACCCAACAAATGTGTCCTTCCCTTTATGTTACGTTAGAACAATCCCGCTTTAAAATAGCCATCGGGGGTTTCTCTACAAAAGATCTTGTGAAAAATTCGTCATGGTGGCATGGTCCTGAGTGCTATTGCAAGACATTTCCGAAAGGACATTAGATGAGTTAACGTTTAAAGAAAATGATAGAATGGACAAAGCAATGGCAACAAAATGTAATGTAAAAGAAGAGAAGTGAAAATGTGTGTGTTTCTGCATATGGAGCAAAGAACGAATGTTTTCCTTCGTGTGCTCCATTTGAAATTGATCAAACAAAATATTCTTCGGTGCTATTAAAAGCTATTACGTGTCACAGCATATGTTAAAAGAGCAATCGGTAAAATAAAAAAGGAAAAGTATGATTCACATATTCCAACATCAAAAGAAATTCAAGAAGCTGAAAATATGTGGATAAAACATGCTCAATACAAACATCTTTTGGAAGTTTATGAGTCTATCAGAGGAAAGAAAAAATGCAATTTACAGCAGCAACTGGGTGTGTTCATTGATATAAACGGCCTTTTGAGGTGCAAGGGTCGTGTAGAAAATGCTTGTTTAACGGAGTCTGCTAGACATCCGTTACTGCTACCTCGCGATGATCCTTTAACAGTGTCAATTGTCGAAAGGGAACATAAGCGTTTGCTTCACTCAGGTGTGTCTCAAACACTAAGTCAACTTAGATATCGTTACTGGATACCGAGCGGAAGAGCTACGGTACGAAAAGTTCTTCATAAGTGCTTATTGTGTCGTCGAGTTGAAGGAGGAGCGTATAAAATGCCTCTTATGGCTCCGTTGCCTCGTTCAAGAGTTACAAAATCAACACCTTTCAGTCATATTGGATTGGATTATCTCGGACCATTATACATAAGGGACAATCAAACCATAACAAAAGTGTGGGTGTGCCTATATACATGTATGGTCACACGTGCAGTTCATCTAGAAATGGTCAAAGACATGACAACAAATGCATTTTTAAACAGTTTTCGGAGATTCATAGCATGCAGAGGAAAACCACAAGAGGTCATCAGTGACAATGCGTTACATTTTAAGCTGGCAAAACGTACAATTGAGTTGCTATGGAGTTCAATTTTGAAAAGTGATGATGTTCAAACCTACAGTGTATGTGAGGGTTTTAAATGGAGGTTCATTGTAGAAATCGCTCCATGGATGGGCGGCTTCTATGAAAGACTTGTTGGTTTAACTAAAAGAAGTTTACGTAAATCTATTGGAAAAAAGTTATTGGACAGCGACCAGCTTATAACTATCATAAAGGAAGTTGAAGCTATTGTGAACTGTCGCCCATTAGTTTACGTTGGAGAGGATATAAACTCCAATATCACGCTGACACCTTCACACTTCATATGTTTGAACCCAAATGTTGGGTTTCCTGAAATTGAAATATCTTCAGATGACCCAGATTTTAAGGTGATAGAAAGTTCAGAGGATAAATTGTTGGCAATATGGAAAAAAGGACAGCGGCTTTTAGATTCCTTCTGGAAAATATGGAAAGAGGAATATTTATGTAGTCTTAGGGAAAGAACACAAACAAATTTAAAACAAGGAAAACATAAAGTACAATTCAATCCAAATGTAGGTGATGTAGTACTTATCAAAGATAATACTTCTAGAGGTAGCTGGAGGCTAGGACAAGTAATCCATCTGTATGTTAGTTCCGATGATTGTGTTCGTTCTGCAGATATTGAAACTGCATCAAAAAAGTCCTTAAAAGACCTTTAAGCTTACTTTATCCTATTGAAACTTCAAAACTTCTTATTCCAGAGACAGAGGATATAAGACCAAACGCAAAGAAAGAAACTGTTATACGTCTCGAGAGAAAGGCGGCAAATTTAGCGAAATTACGCCTTAAAAATCTTCTTAAGTAATTAACAATCCATAGATATTTAAAGGCAATACTTTTGTGTTTTTGGGGAAATCCGCATACGCGTGTATAAACAGTTGAATTATTTTTTTAAAAAATAGAGTGTGAATATATTAATAAGAATAATATTATTTTATCCTTGAAAATATTGTACGAATAAAATAGGAGACGAATTATTTCATATCACATGACTGTATGCGCTAATAATTTGGAGCATAGTTATAACACATGGTGATTTTACGCGCGAATAATTTGGAGCAATATTATACTACATATAGAGGGGAAGAACCTGTGTTTTGTCGCGTTGAATATGAAGACGATTACCATTGCTATACAATGCAATAAATGAATAGTAATGTACTGAGGTACTGACTTTTAGTTCAACAGAACAAGGGATGTTCTATATCGTATGTTGCTTAGACATTTATTTATATAAAAAAACCTACTGAAACAAGTTGAACACTTTATATGTATTAAAATGTTACATACATACATTGCTTTGAAACAGATATTGTAAAAGTTTATAAATTGAAAGATTTGTTTAAGAAAACAGGAGTATGTTTCGTTCATTATGTTTAAAAATATGTTTGTCATTATGACTATTTGTTTAAATTTATTTGCGCAAGTATGAGTTTAATTTTCTAAGAAGAAGGTTGTTTCAATTCTTGCATTTTGAGAATATTTAAAGAGCAATTTTAATATGTACTATTTTAGTGAAAGATATAACATTTTAATTTTGTCGGCCGGAGTGTCGTGAATTACACAATTTTGTTTTACTCCTAATCATGAGAATTATGCCTGTTTGTATTTGGCGGAAAAATATTATATTTCTTTACTCCAAAAGTTATGAATTGTGTATTTTTGTATTTGGCGGGAAAATATTATATTTCTTTTACTCCAAAACTTATGAATTGTGTATGTTTGTATTTGGCGGGAAAATATTATATTTCTTTTTACTCCAAAACTTATGAATTGTGTATTTTGGTATTGGCGGGAATTTATTTCACTTATGAATTACTCCATATCATGATTTTTACCTATTTTCAATGATATTCATGACTCTTTAAATTGGCGGGAAGAAACACTATATAAGTGAATTACAATCTTTATTTTGGGAGAAGCGAAGTGTTGAAGTGTTAAAAAAGGTTGTTAAAAGGTGATTAAAAAGTATAGTTGGATGTAAAAGTGAAAATAAAATCTGAATTTAAAAGTGAATTTTGTTGTCTTCAATGTAGTAAAAGTTAAAGGGAAATTAAAAGGAAAAAGTTTAGAAAATCTGCTACAATAAAGATGCACACAAAAATAATCAGGTGCACAACTACACATGCTGATCAACATTCCTGTTAAGTATCATGACTGTAGGTCAAATACTTTTTGAGTTACGTGCAACACAAAAGAGAATGGACGAAAGGACAAAAGGACTGGCGGACGAACGGACAATGGTAAATCTTAATTCCCGCAACAAAAGGGGGGGGCACAAAAACAATAAAAGGTATTCTAGAGACGAAAACACAATTGAAGTTGTTCTTGAGACGGAGACACGATTCAAGGTGGTCTGGAGTAGGACTCAGATCAAAAGGTGGTCAGAACTAGGGGACACAATTCAAGGGGGTCTGGAAACGGCGACAAAATTTAAGATGGTAAGGGCATGAAGTGACAATTGAAAGTGGTTTGGAGACGAAACACAATTGAAGGTGGTCAAGAGACGAAGACACAACTGAGGGTGGTCAGGAGACGGAAAAAACAATGGAAGGTGGTCTGTAGTCGGAACCATATCTGAAGGTGGTCAAGACACGGGGGTTTTATCATAATTTAAGGTGGTCTTGAAACAGAGACGTCATTGAAGCTGGTCTGGAGGCGGAAACACAATTGAAGCTGGCCAGGGGAAGGAAACACAATTGAGTGTGGCCTTTAGACAAAAACACAATTGAAGGTGATAAAGAAACGGAGCGGAGACATAACTGGAGGTAGTCAGGAGATTGAAAGTTGTCTTGAAACGGAATCACATTTGAAGGTAATATTGAAACGGAGACACAATTGTAGGTGGTCTTGAAACGGAATCACACGTGAAGGTGGTCTAGAGATGGAAAAGCAATGCATGGTGGTTTGGAGACGGAAAGACAATGCAAGGTGGTCTGGAGACATAAAATAAATGAAGGTGGTCTGGAAACCTAACACACACAATTCAAGATGGTCTTGAGACGAAGACACAATTCAAGTTTGTCCAGAAAAGAAAAAAACATTTGATGGTGGTCTAGAGACGAAAACACAATTGAATACGGTCTAGAGACGGAATCATAATTGAATGTGGCCTGTATACGGAATAACACCTAAAAGCTGTCTAGAAAGGTAAACACAATTCAAGTTGCTCAGTAGACAACAATTGACAGTTAACACAATTTGAAGGTTGTGTGGAGACGGAGACACAATTAAGGATGTTGCGGAGACGAAAAGACAATTGAAGGTGGTTTAAAAACGGAATCACACATAAAGGGGTCTAGAAACAGAAACACAAATCAAGGTGGTCTAGAAACAAAAACACAGTTAAGGTATTCTAGAGATAAAGAAACAAATGAAGATTGTCTAGAACGGAAAAATTCAATTGAAGGTTGGCTGGAGATGAAAACAAAGTTCAAGTTTTTTCTGGAAACGGAAACACAAGTTGTTAAGAGATGGAGAGACAATTCAAGGTCGTCTGGAGATGGAAACATAATTGAAGATGGTCCGGAAACGGATGGTCTAGTGTTATAATCACAACTGAAGATAGTCAGTAATAGATAGATAGTCAGATAGACAAAATAAAAGGAGGTCATGAGACGGAGACAAGAAATAAAGTGGTCTGGAGACAAAAACCTTATAGAAGGTGATCAGGACACGAAAACATATATTGAGTTGGTCAGGATAGAGACCAAGACACAATGAACGTTATGTGGAGACAGACGGTGACACAGTTTGCCTTGAGATACAAACAATATTATAGATTGTATTGAAACGGAACATCCTATTCCGATTTTGGCACTACGCTTCAATTTCAAGTCTCAGAACTAGATCAGGGGAAGAAGATTTACCTTTGACACTTGTATAGACTAACAAATTAAAATATTTACTTTAACTAACTTTTAACAAAAAAGAAAGCAGGATAGATATGACTAGAACATAGCAAAATATTTTCATAAACTCATTGAGTGACCTTGTTTGAACCGTCATTGAACCGTCTGGAAATGAATAAGATTTAAGTGTAAAAAGGAAACAACACACACACACACACACACATATTTGTTGAAATGTAAATCGATCGAGCCCACACTTATTGTCATCTGTCGAAATTTCCAGAAGTTATGCATTTGAATAACTTGACAAGGTCTCATTCGTATTTCAAGCGTAGATCAACATTATTTCCTCAGTATTGGTATAACAGTCACTATGAGTCGAGCAGGACAAATGAGGTTGGTTTTTGGCCTTGTTGAGACTTATTTGTAACCAGTTTTGTACTTCAGTCTCTCCGCTACATTGAATCTACACTATCAACTAGAAGGCTCGTAACTAAGAAATTAACATATTTTATTAAAATTGTACAACAAGAGGTATTCGCACATTTCATTGAAATATTTAAAATAAATATCCGACATGTATGATTGTCAGGTGGTCATCATTTTAGTAAACAGTACAATTACATTACACAAAAAGTCCATAAAAATAGCATCATATAAGCTAGAAATTATTATTGATAGAATAAAACGATATCTGAAGTAAGTAGGATTGGAATATACTTACACAAAATATATGGACTATTTGTGTCCCAATATATGAAGGTAATATCAACGCTTTGATGTTCACCGGCTTGAATTGTGAACTCTTCTTCGCAATCTTGACAAAGATTTAAAGCCGAAAGAGATGTTAGGATCATGGTTGGCTCAGTGCAAATTTCATTTCGTCTTTTCGTTCTTTTTGAATGACTAAGTGAATCGATTGAAAGACAAGCTGCGGTTTCTTGAAGGAAATATTTATGCCATTAAGTCTTTATGACATTATATAACAACACTTACACTTTATTACACTCTCATAATGAACTGTTTATCATTGAATATATAAAAGAAAAACAAAATTCAAATAAGTAAGAATTGTATCTTGCGCGCAGGAAGTTTACAGTATTGCGCGCAGGAAGTTTACAGTAGGTTATTTATACTTAAATTGCAAAAGGTGACAAATAAATATAAAAGTTATATATACTTAAATTTGCAAAAGGTAATAAGTAAATATAAAAGTTATTTATACTTTCATTTGAAAAAAGTTGACAATTAAAAATATAAAGATCAAAACACAAGAACCTGTGTAAGCATTTGATATTTGCAAGTTTTTCTTACTTTTTTGTACTTTGTGTATTTTTTTTTGAAAACTAAATTTTCATTACATTTGAATTTCATTGTAAACTTCAAATATGCATTATTGACTTTGAGCAAAGGAGTTCGTTATATAATTTGTAGAAAAAATCTACTAAAATGATAATAAACATGAAACCGAGTGCATGTGTTTCAGTAATATTATCCCTTCCACTGCTCTATAACTTTCAAAATGTGTTCAAAAGTTACCCATTCATTTGCTGTCTCGTCACTTTAAAATTTTATTTGAAAGTCATTTACCATACTTTACACTGACTTTGTCACACATTATGCCAACTAAGTCAGTTGTTATATTTGATATCAATTTTATAATTAATGTCAATCAAGGTGTGTGCCCATAGATATAACGTGAAACATAATTCTTAAGCATGCTTTCTAGATGGCATGCCTTGTACCATTGGGTAGGAACTGCAACACGAAGGATGGAGTTCTTATGATTTTTTTAGCAGTTCTTATGATAACTGTCACGTAGTTCCAGGAAAATGTTACGGATTTTGTTGGAAAACTTTATTTTATGCTGGAGAAACACACGGGAAAAATAGTATTTTTATCTTTAAATTCGAAATTCGAGGTGCAAAATTAAACTCTAATGAGTAACGCTGCCTTACAAACTGCATTATGTGTCAGAAAAAGCTACATTATAGTCCAGTTTTCATCACCTTTTGTTTAAAATCTGGTTGGTTTGAGTAAATTTCAAAATAACTTGCTCATTGGTACATATGTATTTTGAATTATGAAACCTGAACAATAAACCTTTCAAGTTATAAGATAAAAACTGTAAGGGTGTTATGTTGAATTTCAATCAAAACGGAATTGAACTATTTAATGTTATATACAATAATAATGTATACCTTCAGCAGTTATCATTGCCCGGAATTTTATTGATGGTGGCCATACCCTTGTTAGAGTAGTTGTTAAAAACAACAAGCTTGTGTTGGTTTCTATTACAAATACTTCGTTGTTGAAATTCTCATCAATGATAAATTCGTTGTTGTCCACTTGCGATGTTTTAACAACGAGTTCACACTGCTCGAATATTCAATATTATAAAATATATTCTAAAACAAAGTTAGTACATGTATTCAACTATAATTACATAAAATAACTTAGGATCATATTCAAATATTGAAGACGTTGATGGCGAAAGAGGAGCAAGGACGAGTAGTTGTTTTTAATATCATATGTTATCATGATAAACGATGATAACGAATAAAAAATTTATTAGCAATAGGCTTAACAAATTTGAAAAAAGAAAGAAATGATTAATTTTTCATTTGAAAAAAAACTCACAGGAAAGAAATTTTTGATAAAAATTATCAGAAATATTATTTAGGTAAATTAGAGTAAGCAAGTATCAGTATCATATAAACACATACTCTTCTGTTCATACAGATTCTTGCTCTTCCTCATTCCTCATTTAACAGTAAGTAGTTAAACCGTTTTCATATTTTAGGCATTTTTTCCTTTTTCTTCAATATTATTGTTTCTACTTATTTCGACTAACATCAAACAATTATAGACTTTAGATATTTGGTAATAATAAAGTTTCAAAAACTCCTATAGGCTTGAGTATTATGACTACTGATGAACACATCAGTCCATAAGCAAATTTTTTTCTCATCAAAATATGCGTAAAATAAACTTTAAATGAATTTAATTAATTGTGTAAATGAAATATAGAATTGACTTAAATATTTAGTGAAGACACCATTATTTACCGCCAAAGATATAAGCAAACAATGCAAGTTGTAGGCGGCCTACGTTAACCATTAACTAAAAGCCACTAATGAAAAAGTTATAAAGGTCAACATCATTCAACATTATAAACACTACAAAAGAACAACCCCACTTAGAGGTTTCAATATAACCTCCGCAAAAAATAAAATGGCTATTCAAGATCAAGCTTTCCAGAGAAACCAACTGGTCCAACCAAAAACAAACTGACATCATCAAAATTCAAAAGAAACATGAGAATTTGACAATACTTATAATAGATATTTAGCTCGCATGTAACTGAAAGATTTCAATTTACAAATGTATATGAATTTTACTCATTTAAAGACTACAATTTCTAGGCAAAATGCATCTTTCATCAAACACTTATCACTTTAAGTGTGCAATAGTATTCATAGTAAAATGATTTAAGCGCCTAGTATCTTCAAGATTAAGATGTAAACCTCCATCTTTAATGGCTTGATACTCATGATGGGAAAGGCCAAATCTAAGAAAATACTTTTTCTTATGACAGAAATAACTCTAGAATTTCATAAATTTATTTTAAACCTGATGACAGTTGTACCAATATCTAAAAGACAAGGACTAGTAGCAGACAAAATTATGCCAGCAGAAGATTGATGGAGATCATTAGATATTAAATCATAATCAGCTGCAATTATGTTATCCTCTAAACTAGGATCAGTAACATCATTAGTACCATCGTGCTATATGATATAAGATCCACATGACGATATCCTCTAAACTAGGATCAGTAACATCATTAGAACCATCATGGTATATGATAAAAGGCAATATAAGATCCTCATGACCTTGAGAAATTCTTCAACTAAGTCTTAAATTATTATTCCTTTGGGGTTGCTGTAATTTTGGCACTCAATATCCAAAAACATTTTGGCTACTACTGATAACATAAATCTTCAAGTGTAGTAGGATTTGCGTACTTGTAGAACTTACATTTAAGCACAAACATCACAAAAATCGTTTCCTGTGCTTTACTTTTATTTAAGGACAAATAAATCTTGGAAAGGTATAAAAAGATTTATAGGTTGTATTAGACCCTGACATTTCATTTTAAAAATTCAACGATGATTGAATATGGAAAAGTATTCAGTTCATTTAAATAAATTCCAGTTACTAATTTTAAGCTCTTAAGCGACTTAAATAGTTGCAAATACTTGATACAGGTTTACATAAACGGAAGAGAAAAATGGAATAGTCTATAGACATGCGGGTAAATAACTGAAATAACAGAATTCAGCGGTGGAGTTTTCGTCGCCGAATTGGTGGATAAAATATGACCGTTTGCTGTTGTCGGTTTTGACGTTTTACTGAAAAAAAAACTAGCGAGACTTGAGCCGACATATATGCTCTTCCAACTTATTACTCGCGCACAATGCAATTCACAGTGTGATACTTTTGCTAAATTTTGGTAATAGCACGTATAAATGTGTACAAAACTACCATTAAATACACCAGTATCACATCATGTATATCATACTTGCACAAAACAACCTTATTTTAGAACTTTTGGAAATATGTTTTGCCTTTTCATTAAAGAATTGACAAACATTGATTACAACTCAGATGGCGGTGGATTCGATTGCAACGTAGTGCGGTGGGCCCGATAACATTTATGTATATTGTGATGCTTTAACTTGAAATATTATGCAGTTTTTAATAGAGTACAATCCTTTTCTTTCTTTGACATCAAGAAACCTGTTTATTTGATGTTTAAAATGACATAATCATATATACAAACATAATAAATAAATACTGCAGTGCGTTTGTACCGTCGCTTTTCATTAGATAATCGTAACATTTATATAGATTTGTATAATACTGCACGTTTATAACGTCACTTTTCATTGAATAATCGTGACGTTTATATAGTTTTATATACACGACTGCTGTCAATTTTCTAAGAAATCTCACCTTTTTCTCAAAAAGGAGGTTTGCTGTATTATAAATTTGTTTTAAATATTCCTGACAGGTTATATGACCGTATATAAACGGTTGTTTTCAAAATAACCCTCGCCTAGTGGCTCTGGTTATATTTTCAAACAACTGTTTATATAGGGCCATATAGGGTTTAAATCATTATAACTAATTATATACACTGTTGCTGTCAGTTAATGAATATTTCTTTTCTCTAAAAAAAGATGCTGGCTGTATTATAAATTTGTATAAATAATTTAGGGTTACGTAGCCGTATAAAAACGGTTGTTTGCAATGAAACACTAGCTTAGCGGCTCTGCAACAAACGACCAATTAATCTGTCAAAAACCTTTATAATTAATATCATAATACTGTACAAATATCCAATGAAAATCGACGTAACAGACGTGAAGAATGATAAACACATATGTGCAGAATAAAAGATGTTCAACATATCTTCTTGAAACTTGGCATGATGTTAGAATATGATAACAGAAACATTTCAAGCAGAAAACTAAGGGGTCACCGATCTCCTTTTCTGCATGTGCATTTGGCTTTTTTACTTATTTGCAACTGGGGTTATCTTAGAGGCAGGTAACGTAAGGATACGTCTGAAAACTCATTTTTTCATTTTTCCATTTTCCATGTTTTCAGTATATTTATGTATGATATTAAAAATCAAATTTAATTCCCTTAACAATTTCTGTTACTTTTTTTTCAATTTCATTAGAGTTACTTTAAATTCTTTAAAGATATACTATTTTGAAACCATAAACCATTTTTGAAACCATCTTTCTCCGATGATTGTCACAACTATAAGAAAACATGAAAAAATTGTCCTTCACTAACTACAAATATTAAAGATGAAGTTAGCTAATGAAAATAAGAATAATGGATTTTATTTACTTTTCGTATCTTCCCTCGAAATTTGCAAATAAAACAAACACAACAACAGTCATATTCAGGAGCAGATAAACTTGAAAACGAAATCGGTGAATGGTTTTCTCTTATGAAATGATGCACCTTTTCATTATCCCTCATGTACAGATTTAATTAAATCGAGTCTGCAATTTGCATGTAATTTTGCTGTTTTTAATGCTTCAGAAGGATCAGATTTTCCAGATAATTAGAACATTTTTAATTATGACTCCTGAATACTTCCTAAAATCTTACCGTTATAGTACAATTTTGACTGTTCACTTTACTAATTTGGGAAATTTGATAAATAGAATATTATGTTCGGATATTTTATAAAGAAATGATAAGGGCATTACGCATCATAAAATGCATCTTTTATCATACAATAAAAGTATACCTCTGATAAAGTGACGTTTGTGAAAACCATTTTGGCAAATTGATGTGGTTTGAAGTTTACAATCCATTGTAGATCACTGTTCACAATTGTCCTAAAGGGGTAACTTAAGGAAGTTATAATTGAGTCTGTATCTACGTACTGTATGTGGCCAAAGAATGATCCATCTTTGTGTTTAGCTCTAGGGAACGATATCGTGTGTACTGTTTAAAATAAGAAAAACATAACCTGGATAAAAGCTTAAATGGACGCTCAAAGGATTTCTCATGAATTGTCACTTTATAATGAAGAAAAGTTTTTTAGACAAGTCTAGCAAAACAAGCAGACCATTAATTTTATTGACGATATTACTTTTAGTACGTTTCTTTATAGCCTATTCTGAAAAGAAGCCGACATTAAGAATCCAAAGTAAAGTTGGCCGCGACATCACTAAAATTCTTACATTGTCAACTAGATAATTCGGAATTTCTTTCAGTGCGTTCAAATCAATTCATAAATAGCATATTTTTATGTAAAATGTAGATTACATTTATACTTTACTTACAATCAATAAAGCAAAGAAGCATTAGAAAATTTAAATTGTGTTTACAGCTTTTACCTTCATTAGGCTTATGTTCAAATAATTAACTAAGATCTATAATATAATAGATAAATAGAGAATCCCTAAAGAAAGTCCAACACGGCAAAATTGAAATTGTTGCAGGCTCGGTTTGATTGAGCCTGTTCATGGACGGTACTGGAAAGTGCAAGTTACCGTCCACGCCCCCTAGCACCGACTTAAGCAGAATTCAACATTTAAACATGAAATAGTTAAATTTTGAATTTAGAAACATCCACAGATAGGTTCATACGGACAATGGGCGGAACTAGATAAAATGGAATTTTGAAAGGGGATCAGAGGTTATGAAGCATGTGTATCACAGTTAAGACGTCAAAAGACAAATTTAAAAAGCAGGCAACATATCCTAAGGGTGATTCAACATTATTCAAGTAGGAATATTGGAACCACCCAACTAGAAAATGCCGAAAAGTTGAAACTTAAAATACCACAAGCACAACAATAATGTCGTGCTGAACGATCTTCAAGGATCGAAAATATAACATCATTGATTAAATGTACGGGGAGACTTTTTACAGCCGCCATAACGGCACAAATAACACGGATGTGATCATAAAATAGATAAATACAGAATCCCTAAAGAAAGCCCAACACGGCAAAATTGAAAATGTTGCAGGCTCGGTTTGATTGAGCCTGTTCATGGACGGTACGGTACTGGAAAGTGCAAGTTTACCGTCCACGCCCCCTAGCACCGGCTTAAGCAGAATTCAACATTTAAACATGAAATAGTTAAATTTTGAATTTAGAAACATCCACAGATGTGTTCATACGGCGGTTATCATGGAACATAATACATAATTTTGTTAAATACCACTGCAGCTATAATATAGTTCTGAATATTATAACACTTATACTACATGCTGTTTAATTATTGTCACAGCTGCAGTTTACAATAATCTATACTCCTAACAGCATATGAATCAATAACCTCTATTGTTAAAAAAATTATAAAGAAATGTTAACGTACCAATGTTTTGAAGTTTGGCAAAACAATGCCTATCCTTGCTTTTCTTAATACTTTTCCATAATCCAATCGGACTATTCATGTAGTGATTACAAATTCCGTTGTCCTGTCTCGCGGGCCCTTAAAACTGGGCAACTCTACAAATGGTCTGAATACTGCAAAGTTCGATTACATTTCGTAAGATTTGTTTTCAAAACAGTTGAATCTCCAGATAGCAGTTCATGTTCAAGAAGAGGCAGCATTTCAGATGGTTGGTCGCTATGGATGTCAGTTATTCCTGTGAAATGAGGGATGAAATATTTCTAAACTGATAAATAATATATTGGTAATTTAACAAAATATAACACTTAACATATTGTCAAGATTTCACTTAAAATTTTCAAAGGTAAATAAACATGATTTACATTGTGTACACGTGAAGCATTTCTTCCAATTTTGTTACAATCCATTGTCAACTTACGTGTCAGTTTACATCCGAACAATTTGAAATTAAGGCATCTAGATTTGCTTGTTGGCATATCAAGTGAATGTTTGAGTTTTAAGTATCTTCCTTGGATTGGTCTTGGAAGAATAAATACTTGATATATGTTCCACATGTCTTCAGGTGGGAATATTCTAAATTTCTGAAATAAATATATTAATGTTGTTTACTTGTGTAAATTACCTCCTTATGGCATGTGACAATATTTTTCTAATAAATTTATTTTTCCACTAAAGTTAAATGAATCGGGATATATATTGCTTAAAAATGGTTATATATGATATTTTTATATGTTTACACAAACGAGTATACCATGTCCTTGTATAACTGTAGTTTATCTTTATTGTTGCCGAAATATAACCGGAAAGTAGCCCACATGTCACATTCTTTGGAAACGTAAGTACCAACTCCTTCTATTGTTGTTAGAGCAATTAAATCCACCTACATTGATTAATATTATTTGTACTAATATTGTTGACATGTGTCTGAATTGTTTTGAATTTACAAATAAGGTATCTGAACAATACGCAATTATATATTCTTACATTTTTTTTGTGTTGAATAACTATTTAATAGAGATAACAAGTTGCCAAGAAAATCTGGATTACTGTTTTATTATATACATATACTTAAAAGTAAGAGTATATAACATATCTGACACATAGATAAGATATTGACATAACTATAATCATAATTTATCATTAAATTCAATAAGTATTTGATTATACATGGCAGGAGATAAGACAATATATTTTCCTAGTCAGTTTAAGCAGCAGGAAGTATAATATATTAATGCTTCCACTTTTAAAATGTTAAAACATGTTTATAATACATGCATACAAATAATATCTCCCCATTTTAAAGTTTTTCTCAATGCATTTTTTTTTTTGCTAATATGAGAGAATATTTCTTTGACATGAATTATACAAACCAAAATCCAAGGTGTCGGGTCTGTAGCATTATGAATCCAACCAGTCAAAATAGTGTTTGTATATGTAAGTATTTGTTTTGTGGTTCCAGAGGAAACAGTGATCTGACTTGTTGGTACCTGTTTGTCGTATATTTCAATACTCTCAAAGCATGCCTCACCATTTTCTACCGACAAAACATTAGTAAATGTCTTACGAGTCTTACACAAACAAATACATATTTAAACAAAAATTAAAAACAAAAATATTGTAGAAAGGTTTGCAACCGGTAAAATTAATGATTTTTACCGTATAATTAATAAAAGATCGTTGAATGGAGTATTGATTGTAATTGAAATATGTGAAGTTCAGATTCCCGGGTAAAGTTTTAGTGTTATTTTTTCCAGAAAATTAAACTTTGCTTTGAGTTTTTTTCGTCTTTTGATTTAAATTGCCAAATATTAAAGTCATAATTGAAAACCAAATAAATTATTGGGGGGCGTTGCCGAGTGAAATTTAAAAACCCGACTGGCAATGCATTTCTGACCGCATGTGTTAAAAGTTTTTTCGGTTTTTGGGCTTAAAAAAATATTTTTGTAAAATTGAAACACGTGGCAAATAACTCCCTTGCGGCGTTGTCGAGTGGTTAACACACAAGACTGGCAAAATCTAAGAAATACTGTCCACATGGGTCAAACATCGCAAGTGGCAAGCCATTGTTACTGTTAGCAAGAAACTTTCAACTCATTGTTTAGTTCTGGTTGGTTCAAGGAACTGATTCCAAATTGTTTCAATACGGTTATAGCCTCGAAACAATCGAACTAAACTTAACTGATATTCGTAAAACTAAACTTCCTTAATTAATTCATTTCCATAATTATCATAATATTGAAATGTAAACTTATGAATAATTAGAAAATAGTTTCAATAATAATCTCAGGAAGTTAGCAACTTTATGAATTGTTTTTACTATGTTTTGGGTTACAGGTTATAATACTTATTTCCGTCGAATATGTAGAAGTTATAATTGGTAAATCATAAGCACAAAATATTCTTCCGAGTTTATTCTCTTTAGCTTAATGAAGTAAGGTTTACTTACGTGCTTCTATACTCGATATGAACACCTGAAATAACATGTCGCCAGTTATGTGTGCCTTCAATACAAATGTAAAAATACGACCTCGTGTTCTCCTGCAATTTAATAGGTCAATTTAAAAAATGTTTCGTTTGCAGTATTCTATGAAAATAAGTTTGGAAGCATATTTTAAAGATGCATGTATTTAAACAGATCTCCAATTTCTCATTCCAGGATAAACGAATATTTAATCTGGTCAAATTGGAACAAAATAGATAAGAATCATATTTTATTTTTTTTTTAAATTGACCTTACGATCTCTAATTCAAAGATATGCGAGCAATACACCTTGTCAAGTCAGAACAGCAAAGTTAAAAAGCGTGTTTTAAAACTTTTTCAAGAGACCTTACGAAATCTTATTCAAAGATTTGCGAACAAATCACAATTTGTTGACTCATATCTATGATACAATCGCTTCATATAACTTTAGACATTTTTCTGTGGTTTTGATAAATGATGTACTGGTTTTAATGGAAGGTGATGCCGTTTCAGTATCTGCCATTTTCTTACATCAAGTATATGAACAGTTTGATTTATTACACAAGGAAAAGTATCACACAATGGTACTTTTATTATAGCATCAATAAGGCTTGCGACAAAATTACCTTAGATATACTTTTCCAGGAAGAGTGGTAGTTTCTGTGTTACAAGTTGAAGATTCCTCTAGAGTCCCAGGCACATCGCTAACAAAACACTTGAAATAGGTAATTCCCTGAAAGAAAACATTTCAGCACATTAAAAGTCATGCAATCAACAGACTAATAAATGTTTAATTCATTAAGGTACTATGAAATTTCAAAACGCTGATCTTTAATTTATTTTACAAATTGTTTATTATTATTATCATTAATAATTATTATTATTATAATTATTGTTATTATTATTATTATTATTATTATTATTATTATTATTATTATTAAAACCTAAGTTTTACGGTTCTATAGAACAAAACCACATAAATGGTCTTTATAAAAAGGAAAAAATACACAGTTTGCACACAATATATATGAAGAAAAGTCCTTACGGGAGAACACCTATAATGCATTATCTCCACTTTGAAGAGTATTTAAATAGGCTAGAATGTCAAGTGCATTGAAACTAAGGGGCGTTGGTTTTAAGCCCCCGGAGGGGCAACTTTTTTCCTTTTTTGTTTCTTTTTAACATTTTTTATGTATCTCTCAGATCCCTTATGGAAGAAAAAAATGTTTGATTTTAATTATATAATTATTGTAGGTATTTATTTATTTGCTGAAAATGCCAAATTTAATGGCAAACATGATACCAGATATTTTCAAAGTTTAATAAAAAAAACTACACGGTAAAAGTATTTTATATTTTGCAAGACACACCAATATACATTTAAAAAAAAAACTAGGCAAACTTTGAAAATTGTCCCTCATTTTGGTAAACTAAAGGGATATTTTGAATGAGGCTTTTTACATAGGCAAATTGTCAAACAAGTGTTTAAAGTGGGTGGGGTGGTGTTACATTTTATACATATTTAAAATATTGTGTTTAGAAACAATCATTTTGATCGTTAAATTTGTTACCTGAATGTCTTTAATTGTTTCTTAACAATGAGCAATAGGAAAACATGTTCCATAATGATGATATTAAAGACTATTTAGAGTTTTCTCATTTCTGAAAAAAACCTTCTAATGGCGCAGTTTTAGTTAAAAAATGTCTATAACTCATAAACCACACGGTAAACTTTGTTTAAATTTTGCATACAGGTGTCATTTAAGGCAAGTAACTGTCATATGCTGTCAATTTTTAGTTCTTATTGTGCCCATTAGGGGTGTGCTACCTTAAATATATTTAATTATTTACCATTCACTAACCTCAACATAGGTTAAGATACATAATTGTTAAAAATATCATATAAATATAAATGTGTAAATTCCCTGAGCACGTGCTTTTTATGCCTCGAACGGCAATACCTTTTTATATCTAATGTTGTGTTAGCTAAATGTCTCGTGAACGTTGTCCGGTCTGCTGTTGTCATTTAATTTGACCAAATTCACACGTTAACAAAAAATATGATTTGCGCAGCGAACAATTACCAAGTTTTATGCAAGTCTCTATTGACGAAATCGCCATACAGAGAAGATACTAGGTACTGTATTGCTAGCACTTGTTTACAAGTGGCAGGGCCATAAACAAGACAGTAGAAAAAGTATCAGCAAGAGGGAAACAAATATTGGGGATATCGGTTTGCATTAGAGAAACAACTTACGACCTGTTGAAGGAGTGAGTAAACGCTGTTTACAGGCTAACATTTTGTGATATTTTCGACATCATTCGTCGTTTTTTTCCGTTCATTATATTCATATAGACAAACTCAACATACCACGCGCTGTACATGCCTCGTATATTGTTTTTATTTATAAAAAACATTTAAATTAACAACACGTGAAGGTAACTGAAATGTTTTACTAATTTCTTCTTAGTCTCCAAAGTATGATAAACACAGGGAAGTTCTTTGACGACAGCATACTGGACTTCGCTATCACAGCAGATACGCCATTTAGCCGGAAAGAAAACGACAAACAAGTGTATGACAACTGAATAAGTAAGACACCAGTCTATTATTAAAGGATATTTTTA